CGTAGGTAGGGGCATAGGGGAGAGAAAGACTCAATCATGGATTCTAAGTCCACTGCCTCTCGCTGCGTGCTCGAGACCGTGATCTGTGGATGCAACACCTCTCTGGTTCTGAGTCTCTTATCTGTTGGAACTGTTTTCTGTTGTCTGCAGAGCACGACTGTTCTCTGCTCAGTTTGAGTCCTCCTCGTTTGCTGCTGGGAATCTGTTGGGCGTAGTTTCAGTCTGATTAGTCTGAGTCTTCCCTTCACTGAGCTTATCGCCATCTATGTGCTGAGTGCAGACTTCCTAATGGCTTTCAGCCCCAGCAATAGTTGAGTCCTGCCAGTTTCCGACTCTAAATTTGAACACTTGAGACTTGCAAATCTTCAATCTTGCAGCTACCGCGGACCCGGTTTGAGGAACCTCTCCTAGTCTACTTTTGGTAGGAGCTTGCTGAGACTGTGTTTAGGTAAGATTTTGTGACCAATTCTAATCTGCTGGATTTGGATATAATTTCGGATGTACCTGGTCCTTGCCCATGGGCAGGTTCATCTGGTGCATTGGAACATATTTTTCCTGGCAGACGAGAGACACTTCGATCACCCTTCACCCCTCTCCCTATTACCTTGACCGGACAGGTTTCTCCTCATAACCCCTTCCTCCTTTCATCCTTCAGAGACTGAAACAATCTCACTTTCAGTCGCGGTCAGGTTCATTAACCCACCATTATCTTACAGCTCGTTGGTTTGCTTCTTGTGAGGAACCTTGCCCAGGGCACCTCCCAAATTTGAAGCAGCGAGAAGGGCAGTTCCATAATTTTTGCTAAATTATCCTTCCTTGGGTTCGTGTTCTGGTTTCCCCGTTCGTGAACAATCATCAGACCGCCGTAATCGGACCAGGAATTAGTCACTTACAGGCTTCCAGATAGGAGTCTCCAGATCCCGTCTTCACACATACTTATTGGCTTTTCTATCATCCCGCTGGCTCTGCTGTAGGACGTGTTCTTCTTGAGGCGCACGAATGTGGACACCACGTGCAGCCACGTGCATCACTCTGTTTTTCTTTTTTTTAGTTCTCTCGTGACCTTCTTCTCTTGTTTCCGAAGGCGAAGGCATCTAGCCCCTGATTGTGACCGAGCTCTTTTGCTGCTCAGCCTTTCACCCGGTCGAGCTAAAACTTAGTTCCGCAAATTTCTTTTCCCGCTGATTTTTCCAAGCCCGTTTCCCTTGCCGAAGTCTCGCGGGGTGGTAGGTAGGGACAATGGTAATCCTGTTAATCCATTCAAGCGCGTCACTAATTAGAAGATGTGGCATCACTCTGTCATTCAGAACACTCGCCAGTTCGTTTCCCTCTCTCTCTCTCTCTCTCTCTCTCTCTCTCTCTCTCT